TTTGAGTTGTTTATTAGTGCCAGCACGACGTTGCTTTACCGTACACTTAAAGAGAGTGAGCATTCGGAGAGAAAGGGACAAGTTCAACGCTCGATTAAAATTGACAACATTTTTAATTTTTGATGAAAACCCTTTTAATTTAATATTAAAAAGACCCCTACATTCATATAGAATAAAAACCTTTCCTACTAATTGAAAAAAAATTAGAAACCCTCTACTATTGTCGTTATTCCTTACTAAAGGTAATAAAATAAATGAATTTACAAATTGTTTATAATATTAAACGTTACAGATAAAAGGAAAGAAACTTTAACTATCCAGAGATTATATAAATCATTATTTAAACAAATTTTGAGTTGTTTATTAGTGCCAGCACGACGTTGCTTTACCGTACACTTAAAGAGAGTGAGCATTCGGAGAGAAAGGGACAAGTTCAACGCTCGATTAAAATTGACAACATTTTTAATTTTTGATGAAAACCCTTTTAATTTAATATTAAAAAGACCCCTACATTCATATAGAATAAAAACCTTTCCTACTAATTGAAAAAAAATTAGAAACCCTCTACTATTGTCGTTATTCCTTACTAAAGGTAATAAAATAAATGAATTTACAAATTGTTTATAATATTAAACGTTACAGATAAAAGGAAAGAAACTTTAACTATCCAGAGATTATATAAATCATTATTTAAACAAATTTTGAGTTGTTTATTAGTGCCAGCACGACGTTGCTTTACCGTACACTTAAAGAGAGTGAGCATTCGGAGAGAAAGGGACAAGTTCAACGCTCGATTAAAATTGACAACATTTTTAATTTTTGATGAAAACCCTTTTAATTTAATATTAAAAAGACCCCTACATTCATATAGAATAAAAACCTTTCCTACTAATTGAAAAAAAATTAGAAACCCTCTACTATTGTCGTTATTCCTTACTAAAGGTAATAAAATAAATGAATTTACAAATTGTTTATAATATTAAACGTTACAGATAAAAGGAAAGAAACTTTAACTATCCAGAGATTATATAAATCATTATTTAAACAAATTTTGAGTTGTTTATTAGTGCCAGCACGACGTTGCTTTACCGTACACTTAAAGAGAGTGAGCATTCGGAGAGAAAGGGACAAGTTCAACGCTCGATTAAAATTGACAACATTTTTAATTTTTGATGAAAACCCTTTTAATTTAATATTAAAAAGACCCCTACATTCATATAGAATAAAAACCTTTCCTACTAATTGAAAAAAAATTCAAAACCCTCTACTATTGTCGATATTCCTTACTGAAGGTAATAGAATAAGCGAATTTACAAACTGTTTATAACATTAAGCATTACAGATAAAAGAAAGGGATGTTTGATTGTCCAGAAATGAGTTGATTTATTAAAACCAGCACGCGGAGAGGAAAGGATAAGTTTAACGTTCGATCAAAATTTACATTTTTAATTTTAATTTGAGATTAAAAAGGTCCCTACATCCATCTAGAATAATAGTTTCCTACGAATACAAAATAATTTAAATACGCTTAACTATTCGCGGCATTCCTTATTGAGGATAACTTAATAAGCAAATTACAAGTTCTTTATAGCATTAAACAGTACAATATGAAAATCAAGCATATGATTGCTCAGAAATGACAAACAAATTGTGAGTTGATTAATATGGTGTTCCCGAGCGATAGAAAAATTATCTAGTACCTTTTATCCAGAAGAAGAAATTCTCTTATCGAAGATTATAAAAATTAGTTTTATGTGGTCGATTTCACATCTTAACTACTCAAACGATCATCATGAACGTTTGCAGATACATTGTCAGAATAGTACTTAGGCTACCTTTATCCAGAAAAAATACTGTTCTCGAGGAATTTAAAAAATTTGTTTTATGTGAGGTACAGAAATGGACATAGGGTACCTATTATCCAGAAGAAAAAATGCTGTTTCCGAGGGATGGTAAATAATATACAAAAATAATTAAGTTAAAATTATAATTACTACACAATTCAAAATTCATTTAAAAATTTTGATACTGTTGAATTATTTCTCCTTGTATTATTAAAGCGAAAAAGTGCAAAAAACCCGCATTTAACATTACCCCAGCCACCAGTTAAACGCCGAGACCCGCCTCCCAGCTTCACCACGAACTCTTCGTGATGAAGGATACCTGGCAAGTCAGACTCGACGATTAACCGATAACTGGAACAGTGGTAAATACAGGGGTAATACACCGCCGGACTTACAGTCGCCCGTTTGGCCTATTCCACCTAATAACGCTTTGCTATAGGTACCCTCACTCAGCGTCTAGGCAGTCAACCTACGATCTGCGACCGTATTACCGCTAGA